AAAAATTAAGTTTTGATATATTTACAGTAGGAAATTTACAAAATATCTTTATGGAACATGATCTTTACTTAATGTCCTAATGATTTTTGGCATAAAAGAAAAATCAATAATTTTGACCCATACAATGTATTTTTAGCTATTGCTACAAATATACCCAAGCGACTTAAGTCCAGGGTCACATATAATAAATAATACTATAAATATTGTATATACATTTTTAAATGTTTAAAAAAAAAAAGATTTATTGTATATGTTTTTGTGGTGGGACCAGTGAATATGTTGACAGCAGAAACAAAATCCTTACTTGTTGAGGCATACAAAACTACAAAAAGAAACACTACTAAAACTAGGTAATCCCAAAAAATATAAATTTGAAATTACTAATATGAGCCAAAAAAAAAAAAAAGTTCAAAAATGTGTTGCTGAGAATGAGTATCTCTATTGAGCACATAATGATCAGCCTATACTCAAGACACAAGACAAACTTCCCCTTGTTTAGATGTTTCCAGTTACGTCATACCAAGGAAAGTCCAGTCCTACATTTTACGGAAATGCTTGTAAAACCCACTAAAACTAGGTAATCCCAAAAAATATAAATGTGAAATTACTAATATGAGCCAAAAAAAAAAAAAAAGTTCAAAAATGTGTTGCTGAGAATGAGTATCTCTATTGAGCACATAATGATCAGCCTATACTCAAGACACAAGACAAACTTCCCCTTGTTTAGATGTTTCCAGTTACGTCATACCAAGGAAAGTCCAGTCCTACATTTTACGGAAATGCTTGTAAAACCCACAAAACCAGCAGTCAAGCATTCTTACTTTTCTTGTCGTCTCCTGAAGCGACTTCAGCAAGGTATCTGTAGTAGTCACCCTTCATCTTCAGGTAGAAGACTTTGCTCTCAGGATTTGTGGAATTCTGGATTAAATATTTGTTCAGCAGCTCCTGTAGAAGAAGAATAAAAGAAAGAATTTAAATGGTGGAAAAGCTTGAAGTCCACATTTAGACACTTTCATGTAATTTCTTTAGGCCACAAGAAACATGCAAACCACTAGGAGAATGACCTTTAAATACAGGTTAAATATCAGCTCATCCTCCTGTTAGTGCCGTTCCCATGCCGACTCAAAGCAGTTTTAGGGGATTTCCCTCCTTCATTTTAGTCCAGGATTAAGCTTAATCTCTGTCTCAGAGACTAGCCCCTAGCTGAAGCTCTCCATCTCTGCATCCGTCTACACGTCTAAGACTGCTTCAGCAGTAATCTGTTTCAGTGAAAGCAACAGCTTTAAAGCACGAGTAAATACCAGATTAACCACCACACCAA